GTCCATCGTTTGTACTGCATATTTCTGAACTTCTGAACTAACCAAAGGTTGGAGCACTTGTGCTTGTGGAAGTGGTACTGATTTGTGCTGAAACTTGAAGTAATGTATGAATGGATGGAACTTGGCAGTTGTTTCTTGTTGATTGACTGTCTTATACTCGTATTATACTCTTATTGATTCACTAATTTGCATGTATATATGTTTTTTAGTCACAAGCTCACGAGGTAAACGAGCGAGCTCGAGCTAATCAACGAGCCGAGCCAAGCTGGGTTTTTACCTCGTTAAGATAGCGAGTCGAGCCGAGCAGCTCGTTATCCTAACGAGCTACCCTGAGCCGAGCTAGCTCGATATCCAACCTTAGGTGACTCGTTTCCCATAGTGTAGTAAAAATGAGTATGCATTTTTCTAATCGGGCAGCACACTTGCTTAGTTGCTTATGAAAATGAGTATGCTCGAAAATTGATTTTCACAAGTGATCAGTTAAACCAACTGTCTGCGAAAAAATTCAAAAAAAACCCCCAAAATTAAAACCCTAGCTAGCTCTGATCAACCGCCACTGCCATCATCCTCGTCACTGCAGTCCGTCATTGCCACTGTCGTAGTCCGCTGCCATTGTCATTGGTGCTGAGGCCCCACAGCTCCCAAGGTCGTCGTTCGCAAATCTACCCCTATCGAGACCGGCGCCGTCGGATCTGTTGTCGCCGAGCTCGGATCCACCATCGTCATCGCTGTCGCTAAGGCCCTCCAGCTTTGGAGGCTGGTGGCAGATTTGCTTCTCCCGAGGCCAGCGTTGTTGGATCAGCCACCGCTGAGCTCCCGAGTGTCGGATTTGTCATCTTCGATCTCCTGAGCGGCTGCACCCGCCGTTGCCGAGCTCTCAATGTTGTACCCGCCACCACAGAGCTCCCAATGTTGCACCCGTCATCACCAAGTTTCCTAGCGACGGATCCTCCATCGTGGAGCTCCTTGAAGCCAGATCCGCCACTTCAATATGTGGACACTACCATTAATTGATTCTGCTATTACCATCGCCTGAAGCCGTAGGGGGCCTCCGTCTCCACCACCCGAAGCAGTCGTCGGTAGAAGCTCGCCGTTGTCGCCTCCACCACCGCCTCTTGTCCATGCCGCTCGAAGGAGAGTAGTGGAGATGAGGGAGAAGAGAGAGAGTGAGAGTAGAAAGGACTTAGAGAGAAGTGAGAAGACGCAGAGAGGTAGGAGAGTAATTGAGAAACGTCCAGCGATCTTCCGGGTAGCTCCACAAGGTTAGAGAGATGATGTGTGACTGGTCGGTGCTATATTTTTGCATATAGATTTTTTAAGAGATATGTCTGTAAAAATAACCCTATTTTCGTAGGTAGACCACTTAATACGCCCGCATATAAAAATCAAATTTTGTAGACGGGTCTTTATTAGACACCTAAAATCATTTTGCATATAAATATTATTTTAGCCGGTCTGTAGAAATTAAAAGGGTATCTCTAAAAATCATTTTTATAGTGAAGAAAGTACTATATATCAAAAGAAATAAAAGAACTACAAATATTAAATGGGACGTACTATACGTCTTGGCCAACGTGTTAGGGCTGTCGATCCGCGACACCACAACAATAGAACCGAAGCATATGAAATAGTACCAAGTACTCCCACCGTCCTAAAAGAAGTGTAGTTTTACGCTGTTTATGTGTAACATTTGACCATCCGTCTTATTTAAAAAAAAATATGATTAGTATTTTTTTGTTGTTATTAGATGATAAAACATAAATAGTATTTTATGTGTGACTAATTTTTATAATTTTTCAAATAAAACGGACGGTCAAACATTGGATATGGATATTCACGAGTGCGCTTATTTTAGAACAGAGGTAGTACAACGTAGCTGCTACAAACTAGGCCCCCTTTAGTTCCTAAAATTTTTTCCCCAAAAACATCACATCGAATATTTGGACACATGCATAAAACATTAAATGTAGATTAAAAGAAAAAATTAATTGCACAGTTAGGGAAGAAATCACGAGACGAATCTTTTGAGCCTAATTAGTCTATGATTAGCCATAAGTGCTACAGTAACCTACATGTGCTAATGACGGATTAATTAGTCTCAAAAGATTCATTTCGTGGTTTTCAAGCGAGTTATGAAATTAGTTTTTTCATTCGTGTCCAAAAACCCCTTCCGACATCCGATCAAACGTTTGATGTGACACCTAAAAATTATCATTTCGTGAACTAAACAAACAGGCCCTAGACACAGAGCTATCCAGATTCCAGGGCCCTAGCTAGAACAAACTAGAACTACTAGGTCGACCATGCATCTCATCAATCGATTCTTCGCACCGGGATTCGGTCCTCTACCAGGGGCCGGGGCTCTTGTGGGTGGCAACAAGAGGCGTCGTCGGTCGATCGTATCAGCACGGCGAGAGAGCCCAAAGAGGCGTGGATCGATGCTAGCTAATTATGCAGGCGAGGAGAGCCCGCCTATTTAGGCAGGTCTGGGCCTCTGCGGTGTACACGGGCCTTGCTTAGCGGCCACAATTGAAGGAAAGGCTTGACAAGCGATTTAGGCTACGAGATGTAGGGCCTGTTTAGTCATGTAGACTAACCCTCACTCCCTAGCACGTAAAACGAAGCAGGGTTTAGCACATAATTAAGTAAGTATTAATAAAAATAAATTTAAAAAATAGATTAATATGATTGTTTAAAGTATCTTCCATGTAGAAAATTTTAAAACACACCTCATTTAGCAGTTTAAAAAGCGTATGCGCAGAAAAAGAAGGAGGTGAGTTAGAAAAATAGGGATAAGAACTTAGCCATAGCAGTTAGTATGTTTCCTAAATTGCTTCTTAAAAATTAAATAAACATATTTTTTTATATTATAATAATTAATGCTTAATTAATCATATACACACACACTAATGACTTGTCTTGTTTACCTGCCACAAGGTTGCCACCTCCAAACATCCAAACGAACTCAGCCTTAGTTAAGCTTGGATAATGCAGAATGTTGTTTGGTGGCCTGATATAAACATCTGTACAGATGGGATTTTGTTTGTTTGATCGTTTTTCAATGGCGAGGCTTGCATTTATATCTCATATATAGAAATACTGTGTAGTTTCAAAATATTCTATTATAATAAAACTTATGTACTAATTGGAACTAACCTTTAGCTCTAATATATCACTTTATAAAATCATTTTGTTGCATCTGACCTAGTAACAAAAAAACAAAAAAAAAATCGAAGTGAGCGCAACTAGCCGCTAGGTTCTTTGTGGTAGAATTTGCCCACCCAAGCTAAGTCATAGACTTGGCATGTATGCTAGTATTTACGGCTAATTATTACAGTATTTCAGTGGTAGACAACATACATGTGTGGATAGTATGGCGCTCGTAGTGACTTCATTAATTTTAAGATATGTCGGTCTGGTCTTTTGAAGGTGCTCATAGATGTAGGGTATATGTGTGTGTTTATAAGGGCAAGTGTGCATGTTGCAAGCATTACACTTGTAGGGTGTTTCTAAAAGACAAGAAAGAAAAAGAGAATAGTGGTAGCCTCATCACCACATTGAGTAGTTTGGGGGACCTCCGTAGTAGTGCACATGCAATACTACAGAGGATCTTGACGTGTTTAGGCTGGCTGGCCACTCGCCGCCGTTCGAGCAAGAGGGAGGGGGATTGGAATTCAGAAGCAAGGCGTCATCGAGCATTCCTCGAGTTACTGGATCTGGCGTCCTCTATGGAGTTCATTTTAAATAATGTCATATTATTAAACTAGGTGATTCCCTGCACTAACCAATTCTCAATATATATTTTTTTACAATCAAGCTAGGAGTAAAAAGAAAAAAAATAATGAACATCAGGGTTTATCACTATTTATCATGAACCAATCAAATGATACCCGCGCTTTAATGTGAAACATATTGATAAGTATATGTTAAATATTATAAGAATAATAGATAGAGTTGTTAAAATATTGTGCAAATGATGCGAGGGGTGATGATTGGACATGCTTGCATGTTGATTTGTACATTAAATAAATTGTAGATGATGTTTTATGCTTGCATGAGATTAAATATGTAATTATTGCTAGCGGGTGATGATGTGGCATGGTTGCATGCTGAGCTTTAGACTTAGTGGACTATAACTTTATAAAAAGTATAGATGTATTGAATCATAAAGATGATACTATGTTTGTTTTTTAAGGGCTAAAAATTATTACATTACTAAAAAAAATATAAGCCATTAGATTGTTATGGAACTAAATTATAGTGTAGATTGATATCAAAATTTATATACGAAATACAACTGTACATAAGAGGAAGAAGAAAAGAGTTAGAGTTGTATATTAAATTCAACCCTACTTTTAGTATCTATTATACATACAATATAATTACATATATTGAAATATAAACTAGGAGTTGTATAACAAATCCAATTCAATTAGCTGGTATAAAATTACATAGCGAAATTGTACAATCTAATATAGCTAACTAAATAGACAACCTAATTTAAAGTTGTCTATGTGCCGTCTACACATCTCTACTATTTAAAAAGGAGAGTTGTCCATCCGTTCTCTCTCCCTTGAGTGTAGCACGCTCTTCTTTGGGAAAAACAGTAAAAGCTTCGAAGATAGGTACAAGTCCGTTGTAATATACGGACATATTGCCAGGAAAATGATAAGATTATATAGATGGGTACCGTCTAAATCACTATGCATGCTCTTACAGTGAACTTAAATTCTTTAAATACTTCAAGGGCCACTTATGCTTATACTTATAAAGCTAAAATTTAAATTTTAGAATTTAATTTTAAATTTATTTTTCATCATAGTTTATTTTACATTATTTACACTCACAAATGATTTACTATTTACCAATATAAGTGATACGGATAAGCAGGTGAGTAACGCTGCAAATGGGCCGAAACGATTCGAGCACGACAATGCCAGGAGCCCACGAACGTTAGATGTGGATCCTACGGTCATACGCCCTCGGAAGCACACCCTCACTAAAATCCTCCACTGCCGAGCCAGTCGCGCCGCCGAACCACTCCGTCCTCTCCTCGCCCACCGCCGCCGCCGCCGCCGCCCATCCTCCTTCCTCTCCTCGGGCGCTGAACCGCCGAGCTGAGCAGCCGCCCCGCCGCCCCCTCCTCCGCCGCCACAAGCCCGATCGAGGGGTGTCTCGCCCGGGATATATATATATGGCGGCGGGGCCGGCGGGGATCGTGTGGCAGACGCCGGCGAACCCGCCGGAGCGGCAGGACTACATCTTCCGCGACGGTAGTAGCAACCCGCAGCCCGGCCTCCGTCTCGTCCCCAACGCGCGCATCTTTCTTTCTGCCCGCCAAACCCCCTCCCCGGAGGCCCCGGACTGACGCGGTTGGTTATTCCCCCCCCATTTTGCTTCGCAGGGCGGCGCTACGTGAGGCCCTACTACTTCGAGTTCATCTCCCATGTAACCAACCTCCTCGGTTTTGCCTGCATTTTATTACATATTTATGTTGGGAACATAGGTTTTTTTAGTTGCTTGGATCAGGTGATTCCTGCTTGTTATTAGTTATAATGTCTACTGAAAATTGTTGTTTCGAGAATAAATATATTGTGCACTGAAAATCTATAGAATCAGATGTTACTGGGTTTTGGCCTAACATTTTTTCTTAATCTTTTATCTGCTCCATCAAATATATTACTACTTAATTGCAAGCTGTAACTTATTGGCACCTCCAAGTTCTCCCTTTCCTCTACACCACTGCGCAATATACAAAAGCTGTCACTCTGCATTATGGGGCAATTTGGGTTATGTTTCTATTATCTCCAAGCGATCCTGTCGAGTTTTACTTCAACCAAATCCATACCCTCTAGTCTTGGAAACATGTCATTTTGGACATGGAGATGGTCTTTAAAATACACCTTTGACCATTGGTTTATGTAGCCTGAAGATATTTTAATTTTATGAAAGTAGTTTTTTGAAACAATTCTATAGATATGCTTCTCATGCATCCAACCTAAATATGCAAAAAGATATTAATGTTCCAAGACGACATGTTTTCAAGATCGGAGGGAGTAGTTTATTTTTTCATTTGGTTTGCAGGTGAAAAACAGATGGGCTGGGAAGACCATTGTTGACCTCTTCACCGATGAGTTCAAGGGCCGGCCTCGTGAATATTATGTATGCCACCAGTATCTCTTTTGAATATTACCATGTGTCCTATAAGTTCCTTTTTCTTTATTATGATTTACCTTTGCATATGGAGTCATCGGGTCCTAACTGTAGAAATACACACACAAAACTTGGGTTCTGAATGTGGTTCGTCCTGTTTTATGTATTCCGCCATTTAGAATTGCAAATTAATCTTATGATTCAACCCTTGCACGTTTGGAACTAGATAAGCTCTCTTGGTTCTTTGGCATTATCTACAATGATGTATCTAGAATTGATTTAAAAAAAACAAAATTCTGATGTATCTAGAATTGATTTAAAAAAAAAACAAAATTCTAGGTTCATGCAGTGAAGTGTGGGAGGCTTCAGGTGGATGACCAAATGGTTCACGCAGACTATGTTGTGCAATCATCACAAAAGATAAGCCATTTCTTGCACAGGTGAGTCAACTTCATCAGTTTCAAAGGTACATTGAGATGGTCATTTGACAAAAATATTACTCCCTTCATCCCAAAATATGGCTACCTTTCCACCTACTCCCTCATCTCAACCAATTACAACCATCTCTTATATAATTTCTCCACTTACTTCATCAGTTTTTGCAGTTATTACTGATACTTTGGCTTCTAAGTTAATAGTAATAGATCGGGTTTTAATTTAATGGTGATGGGAACTGTAAAATGCACAGAAACAATAGCTTGATTGGTTCCTGAGTCAGCTCTAATGTTGTCTATAGTTTTTATTTTCCCATGCTAGGTGTAGACGTTCTGCTTGCATGGTTTCGTTAGCTCTCTAACTACTGAAGCTCTTTATTCTTTGTAAAAAAAGAAAGAAACATACTTTCAATTACAATTAATTGTCAAATTCTTCATGGTTGTCACTCTGACAGGCATGAACCTCCAGTTTTGGGTGGTGATATTACAATCCTTCAAAATGAAGCTGATGTTGTTACAGTTTGCAAACCTGCATCTGTTCCAGTGAGTTCATATCATTTTGTTCAGAAACCTTCAAATACTATGTGATGTATAAAAAAGATATACATGCATGGGCCATCCTTTTTATAATATAACTGTTTTCACTTTAATTTATCCTTAATATTAAGTCTTCCGGAATTTTTTTGGTCACTTAGATCCATTAGTCAAAATATGTTACCTGAACTTTGTAAGTGTAAGGTTGTATCGACTATTCAACTATCAAGTCTAAAGTTATAGGTTCATAGCCAACATGTGCCCTGAAAGTTATATGTTAATATGTGATACGGATTGTTTGAGCTGTGCGAAACATCTGTAGAATGGAAACTGTCAAGGTACACGCATAGCTACTATAGGATTATGTGATTTTGAAGTTATTAAAACATTCTCTACCAGATGAAATTAGTACCTAAGGTTTTCCTTCTTGAATTCATAAATTTGTTGTTAAGTGTGAGATCTTATTCTGGTAGCAGTTAATCTGAACAGTTTGGTTGAATGATGTTTCTGGCCTATTAAGATCAACAACACCTTTGAGATTTCAGTAGCTTTGGAAATGCAAGTGTTAATTCCATTGTTTGTAAGGTTTAGTTATAACTTGATCTGGTTCAGCTATATTTGACTGTAGTCGTTTATTGTTAACTACAAAAAATGGAGGTGTTTTCTTTCTGTAGGTTCATCCGTGTGGTCAATACCGCAAGAATACTGTTGTCGGTATTCTGCAAGCTGAACATGGATTGGTGCCCCTATTTCGTATCCTTTGCCTCAATTGTGCCATTATTGCTAGTGCCTTTCACTATCCTGTTTATTCTCTTCCCTGTATGATTGAACTTTGACCTTTATTTATATTTGTACTCAAATTCCTTAACCACCATTATTATTTTGACAGCCGTGCATCGGCTAGATCGGTTAGTTTCAGGTCTCCTTATATTTGCTAAAAATGCTGACAAAGCTGAAAGTTTCAGGCAACAGGTGACATTGTCAATTTGAATTCACCTTTCTATTGTCCTGTTTATTCCTTGTGTCTGCTGTCTGCACTCAACTTATGTATGTTACTTTAACACTTTTATCTTTTCACACTTATTTCTTAATTGAATACTATAACTGCAGATCGAAGCTAGTTTGCTGCAGAAAGAATATGTGGCCAAGGTTGTTGGGGTGTTTCCTGATGGTGAGGTACGTCACTTATTTGGTGTCAACAGCTCAACATGTCAATAAATTTGCTGGATCCAAGAGCGGAAGATTTTGCCAATGTAAAATAACTTGAATATACTCTGCGAAGGCTTGTAGACCATTTCTTATACTGAAGTCACCCGTAGGGTTTTGTTATTTTTCCCATGTTGTGAGAATGAAGGCTTGGATCTACCACCTAGGAAACGACTCCGTGGAATTTTCTTGTGAACTAAAAGCATTTCATTTAGTATTTGATTTCATAATTTCATACATAACTGCTGATTTCCCACAAATATCTGTCTGAAATAATTCTTTTTCAGCAAACTGTTAATGCAAATGTGCACTTCAACGCACGGGAAGGAAGGAGCACTGCAGAGGTATGTAATTAGTAATCCTGCTTGTGGTTGGTATGTTTTGTTGTGTGTGAAACTGCATATACTGAAGATATTGCCATCTCTTTCGGCAATTATTGACTGCCTCGCACCTCTCTTCTCATGCAATGTATTTGCCTGAGCAATTATAGGTTTATCCCGCATGTGATATACTGGTGCTGAGCAATTGTAGGATTGTACAGTGTAATGTGGTGTGTGCTCTTTAATGGTAACAGTGCATATGGCTATCTGTACCAAAGAAATAAGAGATAATTGATTATAATAAGCAAAAGAAATAGTTGATATGGGTCCTATAGAGTTCTTCTTGTACAAGTAGATTGAACAATGCATTCATTTATGCATGAACTATTTTCAGAAATTCGGTAGAGCAAGTGTACTCAGTAGGATATAATTCTGGTTTGAAGAACATATCTGAGTTCAATTACTGAAATGAAATGCAGGTTTGTGATGGTGATGGTAAAGCTCCAATTGGAAAACAAGCCTGCACCAAGTTTCAGAGGATCTGTACTGATGGAATCCACAGCATTGTCCTGTGCAAACCTGTGACTGGCCGGACTCATCAGGTCACACTACCTTATACACATCAACATTGATTTGCTCGTTCAAACTTCAAACAATCGAAACGACCTGGAAATTTCCCAAAAAAAAATGAATCTAAAAGCCTACTACATAGAAAAAGTTCAAGTGGCCTTTAAACTTACTGCACTATCTGAATCATAATGGAAATCTTAATCCTGCTAGAGCTTGGCAAAATGCATTTTAGGTGCACACAGGTGACACGCAAACTGTTGAGTGCCTCTTTATTTAGTCATAGCTCCCTTGTCCCTGTTTTGATAACATGCTTCATGCCCAATCCGTTACTTCCAAAATAATCAAATTATCAGACATCTGTTCACCATAGCATGTCTCTGATGCAAGATGAGATAGATGTGGTCATAATTTTTCTGCTGATTCTTTGTGCCAATAGTATGCCCTCTTGTCCTATGGTTTTGTTTTTTCAGTTACTTATCTATATTTCTGATACAGCTTTTTGTTTGACAAATGTAGATAAGGGTACATCTAAAACACATTGGTTACCCAATAGCCAATGACGAGGTGTACCTTTCCGAGAATTTTTCTCCACGTTCGTCAAAGGGAACAAGAATCAACAGAGCAACCACGCTAGCTTGTTCATTGCCATCTTCAGATCCTGACAGTTGTGCTGACCTTGGGAACAATGATACAAACGAAGATACAGAAGCCGATGAGGAGTTCAGCATCGATCCGATGTGTACGAATTGCCCAAATCTTGCTCCAGTAGGGTGAGTGCTTACAGTTATCAAGTTTGTAGTTAGGAATTCTTCAGGCCTTCGTAATATTTTGTTCTTTGGGCAGTTATGATGCAGATGAGGAGGCATTGTGGCTGCACTGTGTGCGATATACTGGTCCTGATTGGAGCTACGAATGCCCATATCCTGATTGGGCCTTCCTTGATAATGTGTCGAGGAAGAAGTTGAAATCATGATTATCTTTCATGGATACTAGTACGGTCAGCCCACCTGCCCGAAGGCTCAAATTTTGCTAAGTTTATGATTTGTTTGATATGCACATAAACAGTGTATGCGCCCATACTGCATTTTCTAGCAAGAAGCGCTAGAATCTAGATAGTGTTGTAGCTGTATTTTTATCGTACCTCTTTTTCTCCAAAGCTTGCATGCTTTAATATACTGTCATTTTGGATGTTAAATAGCTTATCTTAGAAATCTAAAGATTACTCGAAGTCATGTGCAATGATCAGTTGTAGGGGTTAACTTTGCTTGCTTCACAGCATGCTCCATCTTTAGATCTCATGCGTTCGTATGTTCGCAGTTGGCAGCACAAACATGTAAGGCAAGAAATCCATGCGGAAAAAGGTAAGCATATTTTGATCTCACCAGTTACAACTTACAAGCAGGCCACGTCCTTGTCCACGGTAGCTTATCTTTAAGAGTCATCTGCCAATCTGCCATGTATGGTCCAAAGTCCAGAAATGACCTTGAATTATACCAGTTTTTTTCGGTTTCCATTCTCTTCCAGAAGTCCACTTCCAGTGCAACTGTCTGCCGGAGCTAGATAAAAGCCCATGTAAATAATTGAACCGCTAAACTGCAAGCTGCTACTTGGTTCCCTCCCTCCCGTAAGAAATATAGCTTGAGGCTATGATTAGCATCTTGACAGAATTGCATCCAAAATCTATTCCCTTCTACCATAAATATTTTATAGTTAGGATAAGATTCTTTTAAAACCTTAGCCATTAACCCTAAACCTTAACCATTATCCAATTTGGGGATAATATTTTGAGAGTACAAACTAATAAATTAACTATTACAAATTAAAAGGATATTTTAAGATACTGTTTTAAGAAATTTATACTGTTTTATGATACTAGGTTACCATTTGGCAACGTCAATAGTCATATAGTTTTGCCCTACTTCTGTACTAGAAAGGACTGTAGTTTGTACCGTTTATACTTAACGTTTGGTATTTCGTCTTATTTGAAAAAAATATGATTAGTATTTTATTATTAGATGATAAAACATGAATAATACTTTGTATGATTATTTTATTTATTTTTTTCATAAAATTTCCTAATAAGATGGACGGTCAACCATTGGATACGTAAACTCACAACTATACTTAAAATAGAACGGATGCAATAGTTAGCAGAATTCTTTAGTTAGCAACAATGCTGCACCACACTACTGACCATGGTGTACGGGTGTGTAGGCGTGAGTGTGGTTTTCGCGTGTGCACTCACACGTAATAAAAAAAAACTACTATTAATAACTTATATGTAGGTTAAAGCAAAATCTGTCATGTTTTTGTTTTCCAAAACACATCACAAACGCAAATACATGTGCACATAAGTAGACTCATCTATATGAACACAGATACATCATATCTTATAAATATTTTTAGGAGACTAAATCCATATGTTTAAAAATTAAAAATAACAAAATCGTGATAGACGTCTCATTGTGGATAGTTATATTATCTATAACTAAAACTTATTAGCCATGAGTGTGATTATCTACATTGATTCTTTTCTTTTTGAGAACTATCTATATTGAGTCAAAGACCCGAATTCAGATAGGTATCACAAGAAGCATGACCAACTATCTATATTGGTCTTTGTTTGCATGTCCAGCGGAGTTTGCATGGCCTTTGCTTTCTTATCCTGCACCTTTAGATGGTGTCGATGGACTTTTTATTCAGCAAGCAGTCTCTCGGCTCTCGCTCATCTCAATCGCCGGTGTGGAGGTCGAAGGGAGAGGGTGGTGGGCCCCAGTCCAAAGCGCTCATGCATGATGTCATGGACAGGGAAAGGACATGCGGGCCCCCACACTGTCGTTGTCATTTCGATCGGAGCCGTTTCGATGCGGTTTTGGTCTCCTCCTGAATTCCCAGACGCTGTTGCCCCATAATGCTCCCATGATCGTTGATCAGGTAGATCGATCGAGAGATTGCAGGGCACAGCCCTTGGGCACTGCACCTTCTGTTCCACAGCGCAACTAATTACGTACTCCTACTGCTTTCTCTGTTTCAAAATCCTACTTCCGTTTTAAAAAAGATCTAGAGCTGTATGCTAGATAGTACTCCCTCCGTTTCACGATGTAAGTCATTCTAACATTTCCCACATTCATATTGATGTTAATGAATCTAAATAAATATATATGTCTAGATTCATTAACATTAATATGAATGTGGGAAATGTTAGAATAACTTACATTGTGAAACGGAGGAAGTATATCAGATTTGTTATAATAAGATATATCACTTTCCATACTGGGTTGGTTTTGATGAGACAGTGAGTGAATTACACAGCTATATTTATTTTAGGATTGAGAGAATACTCAACACGCTCATCCCCAGCTCTAGAAAATATTACTCCTAGCTAAGTCACTTCTCACTCGCGGGTAAGTATATATATTATATATATTCATTAGAACAGATGGATCAGTTTAAGATTGTTCCCAAAGTATGTTACACATGCTGTTAGCAATGAGGTTCTATGTTATAAACACACTATATTAGTACTAGAATAATAAAAGTCAGAAATAGTAATATGATATTTATTTTTGGAAAAATTTAATTTAATTAAGATGGTACAAGTTATTAAGTCATCTAAATGATTTTAAATATTTTACTCCCTCCAAAAAAAGCAATTGTGGAATTTAATTGATAAATTATTAGGGATTCATCGGCGGTCTGGGATAAGATGAAAGAAAAATTGGTTGAGTGTGGTTGGAGGGGGAAAAAGTACTCTAGAGTATAATTTCCTTTTGCAAAATTTTAATGCAAGAATTGGCAAAAAAAAAAAGGTGAGTACGTAGGTACGTGTCTATTACTCCCTCCGTCTTAAAATATAAGAGATTTTAGACGAATGAGACACTTACTTATCCAGATTCATAGTACTCATTCTAGAAAGTGTCTCATCTGTCCAAAATCTTTTATATTTTAGGATGGAGGAAATAGTATGTAGGAATCAGAACTAAAGAAATGATACACGTAATCAACACAGTAAACCGACCAAGATTTATATTTTGGGATGGAGGAAATAGTATGTAGGAATCAGAACTGAAGAAATGGTACACGTAATCAACACAGTAAACCGACCAAGATAATCCCTATCCAAACCTAAGCTTCTAAAACGGCTAGAATATTACTCCATTTGTTCCACGATCTTATTAGGTTTATTTCTTAATCCAAATATCTTGATCATAGATTTAGTTAGACCCTACTAGTACATGGATATGATGCCAACAGGGACAAAGGCATCGGTAGAGGAGAAAGACAATTTTCATTGTGCTTGAAGAAGGTGTGGGTACCGCAAAGAACATGTGGGAACACATTGTACGCAGCCTTTGCCCTTTTTTTCCCCTTTCACATCTTAGGCAGTAGCTAGTGGAGTAGTACTAAGCACTTAGCAACTGATAATAATTTTGATCTAAGATAATAAAAATCAAAACTAGTGTGGCACACTGTATATATACGTATCTAGCCAGCTAGTATACATCACAAATCTTTTTAATATTACTTGTAAGAGAAAATCTACTCAAATACCATTGATTTCGTCTCAGTTCAACAATTTATCATTAATATTATTTATTTTATAATATACCGACGACTTTATCATTTGTTCTACAATATATCATCGGGCTAGGTCATTCTAAAAACACCGAAAATACCGTTATATACATACATGACTAATAATTGATTTATCCTATCAAAGGTTTTAAAAAACTTACGATTTTCTTTTTGTTGTATAGATTGATTTTGCCATTTTGGCCATGAGATTTTGCGTAATGGTATATGTTTATTATATCAACATTGTGAATTCTTTTAGTGTTTTTTATAATTATTTGATATTTAAAGAGTGAGAATCAAACGATTGCACATGCACTTAGTGTTGTAAGATCCAACTCTGCCTAGCTAGAGCGATCGACTAGAATGACATTTCTTTACAGAAAGAAAATACAAAAATCTAAATTACTTATATCTACAATCACAAGATTTGTGCATCAAGACCTCTTAAGAGGCAGTTGGTGAGAACATGGGTTTCTGATTTCTACTCCCTCCGTTTGAAAATATAAACAATATTTATGTGTGTTTCTCAAAATGTATTTGAACGGAAGGATTTCCAAAAACATATTTTCTTTTTGCTGATAAGACCAAATAAGGTCAACGACATGTATTAAGAAGAAGAAAAGTTACAAGAAAAACACGACAAAAGCTATCGAGGTTATATGTGCACCAAAGAATATGTCCAAGAACCACACGCTAACCACACAAGCTAGCACAAACCACTGAGAGAGAGGAGCCTATAACATCAAAACGTCCCCCGCAAAGCGTGGCAAATCATGCCGAGCCTATGACAACATCACAAAAATGAGACTCCGAAAATGGTGCCATCATATAGGTCATGACATCATGGATGTCGACATCGCCCATTTAAGAAACATGCGGTTTTCACCTAGAGAAAATCGTCGAGAAAGAAAGAGATGTACCCTCGACAGTGCCTCAAGGGGTTACGACGCCTTAAGACATAGCCGGTGCTGGCCTAGTGATCCACCGGGTGAGACTTCCGTCTGAACCCCTACAACCTTGATTGTATTTAGGAAGGATGCCCAAATATATATTTTTTTCAAAAAAAAAGCAAAAATACTTATATTTTTTAATAGAGTTAGCAGTAATCCATTTTTTTTATTTTATAACTATATGTTCACGAAATTAATCTGGGATGAGAATTTAGATTATTTGAGTCCATCTCATACATACCAAATTACCAATATAGTAATAGAAAAAGACTAAATCCCAATACAACTATTTCTCACTTTATCTTTTCTGAATACAACTATTTATTATTTTTATAATGTAATGATTACTTTAAAAATAAACTAAAATAATTAAAAGAGATTTAAAAATGAAGACGGAGCCACATAGGAAGTAAATCCCTGGTATGCGTACGTACGGGACGAGCAAGAGGAGGAGGGTGATGGGCGCTATTGGCCTGAGACTGAAGAGAAGGTATAGGTCAGCGTGAGGCCGGCCGGGCGGCGGCATAGCGTCAGCCTCGGGAAGCCGCATGCTCGCCACCATCATCGATCACCGCGTTGCGTGCGTTCGTCGTCCCCATCTGCTAGCCGGTCTCCCGGCCGCCCTCTCCCCAAACGTAAATGAGCGCAGCATGCATGGCCATCGCCATGCTAGCTTCTTTAATTTCTTGGGCATCGCACTAGACTAGCTGCATCCATCCAACCATCCATTCGAGCAGGTACAACATCA